AAGAGATGCAGACGTTCTCCCAAGGCCTGGAATGAGGGGACATACTCACAATAGTAGTTATAATGGCAGTTCCAGATACCATTATTCCCCCCGGTCTCCCCGATACCTCCCTTTGGTCTCCCCTCCAATTCCCAGGAAAACGTGGTGGCAAGGTGACTCCGCTCATCAGCAATAGTGATGCAACAGAACAGCGTAGAAAAGTTCAGTTTGATCCAAGAACGCATCTTCAATTTAACCCTCCTTCAAAGGTTCATTCTATGAAGGAATTAGGTTATGACGCTAATGCTGGGATATCTCCAATTGGGGTATCTGAACCATTCTCGCTATTCTCAGCTGAGGCTATTCGCTGTATGAGGTCAGAAGTGTTGAGCAAAGAGGTATGGAGTGAGTATCAGTTTTCGAGTGATCTGGCGATGTGTCAGCTTCGAGAATTTGCTCCAAAGTAAGCTATTAACACCCATACTCTTTATAACCCCGGACTGCTGCTAACGATCCACAGATATGCGCCTTTTGTGTATGATGCATGGAAAAGCCCTGAGACGCTGGCTATTGTGTCGAAGATTGCGGGGATAGACCTGGTTACTGCCATGGACTGGGAGATTGGTCACGTCAATATTTCCGTCCAGACAGAGGAAGAGAAAAATAATGCTCTGGCGGAGGCTGTGAATGGGGCGGCAGGTACATATGACGATGATATTGCCCCCATTGTTGACTGGCATACGGACAGTTATCCTTTCGTTTGCGTGACTATGTTGAGTGACTGTACCGACATGATAGGTGGAGAGACAGCACTCCGCAGAGGTGATGGCAGTGTTGTGAAAGTGAGGGGCCCACAAATGGTATGCCAGAACACCTGATATATATGGATAAACAGGGTGCTAACAAGTCCATGTTTTAGGGATGTGCCGTGGTGCTCCAAGGGAGATACATTGAGCATCGAGCTCTACGAGCACTAGGCACGACTGAGCGGATCACAATGGTCACTTCATTCCGGCCTCGCTGCCCAACACTTAAAGACGACACTGTGCTGACAACCGTCCGACCTATCTCCGACCTGTCTGAACTGTACTTTCAGTTCAGTGAGTATCGGCTGGAGATGTTGGAGGAGAGAATTCGAAGCCAGCTCAAGGAAGCTCGTGATGCAAGATATGCTGGCAGACCCTTCAATACACGGAAGCTGAAAGAGTTCCTCGCAGTCCAGATTGAGTTCCTAACTCATATGAACAATGAGATTGTTGAAAACGACAAGGTGCAGAAGGGTGTCACCGACGACAGCCACCTGCGATCAGCGGATCTGAAGGAGCGCTCAAGGAAACGGGCTCTTGCTACGGCTGCATAGAGACCAGGTCGATGGCTACTTTAGGACTTGTTTGGTGCATAGGACTTTGAACGTTCTATTCTGTTGTTCGGGAAACGGTAAACTTGATATACTCCTCTCACTAATTGCTTTGGGTGTCTTTCATCGGTTCTCCTGTTCTTTGTCGTCAATTCTGGGTCAGTCGCGTGGGTAATAATGATGTTTAGTAGTTTGTAATTCGATGAGTATTCGTGGACGAAAATGAGTGAAAGGCATCTCATTCTTTAATGTCAGGTAGTTGTTGCTTTGGGATTCCGGATTATTGTTGCTTCTGGGCTGTTGTAATTTCTGCGAGGCAATGTTGATGGGCCAGGCCAAGCGGATGATGGGTCTATATTCTCACAAGGCGTTGGAGGTAATCAGTCGAGATAGGAAGTAGAGAAGAGCACTGAGAATGAATTTCAATAACTGCATTTGGTATTAGTCTGACCATATTTTGGGTATATCTGTATTGTTCTCCCGCGGGGTAATCCTGGGGCGAACGCTGTCTTCATCGACTGTAAAACATAACTATGCAGATTGCAGAACTGACAGGGACAAGAACCATCCGGTCTAGTGGTAGCTTGCAGCCGATATATCTTCCTGTAAAGCGTCAGTATGCCTTTTGTCCGTCAGACTGACTGAGTAGGTACGCCGTTTTGAAACCTGCCCATCCACTAACTAGCATTGATCTCATAGCGGTCCCACGGCCGGGAGACACAACCGGTGAGACCACGGTGAGGGAATCCTCTCTCTCTCTCTCTCTCTCTTCTTTTTTATTTTCTTTCTCTCTCCCTCGCCGGCTGTTCATCTGTCACCGTCGTCGTCTGCTCTGACGTTGAACTCACTTCCGCTTCCTCGCGCCGTCGTCACTTTTATGCCAGCACACATTCACGTGACAACCCTCACAGGCTAAACCCTCTTGGGAAGGAGAGCTCTCTCACTTCCAACCGCCGCTTTTAACTCGCTGGCTTGAACATCCATAAAACCAAAAACGCGCCTGTCCGACTTTCTGCCTCACGCGATTGTCCCTACCGTGAGGCTCACCTTCGTCTGCCTGACTTTGTCTTCCTGTTGACGAGCTTCTAGCTGCCTCTGCTACAGGTTACCTGCTGCTTATCACAGGGCCTGCCACAGACTGCTTTTGCTGCGGGCGAAGCCAACCAACCGCCTGACAGACTTTGTTCCGTCGACCCGCCCAGCTTTCGAAGCTCAGCTGGAAATCAGGGGCCATGCCTGCAAACAATGCAAAGAGAAGACGTTCAGATGATGTGGATTTCAGCAGTAACCATCCCACTGCGTCTGCTACTCCATCTCTCCCGGCAATCGGTGAGAAGAGGGATGCAGACCCTTCAGGGGTGAGTTGGTGGCTGGCCGGAGCAGCCCCACCTATTCGATATCTGTTCAATGCTGACGGTTCTACAGCTGCTAGAGACTCTCCAACGCCATATAGACGACCTACGAAGCCATATTTACTGCGGCGTGTGTATCAAGCCGCTCTATGAGCCGTATACCTTGCCCTGTGGACATACGTTTTGCTACAGTGTACGTCTTCAATTTGTCCTTATGAATACGTGGACCTGTCCGTGAGACTCGCTACTAATTCTTTCACAGTGCCTAGTGCAATGGTTCAAAAGCCAGGGCCACTCAAAAACATGTCCAGACTGCCGGGCACCAGTCAAAGCGACACCTGCTCCAGCATATCTGGTACGTTCCAACGATACAGCCCCAGCATATACGGCCGATACTGATTTATTGCTCACGTTTAGGTCCGCAACATCGTCCACATGTTTATTGGCCGGTCCGAATTGACAGATGCGAATGAAACCACACAGGAGCATTTGGCCAACCAAGTAGCAGAGACTGAGAAAGTCGAAAGGGACAAGCAGAATACTGACCCTAGGACTGGTGGTCTGTTCCAAGGATGCTTCAACAACACTCCTATTCCACTTTATGACAACGCCGAAGGTGTCTCGCGGTGCCCAGGATGTTTTTGGGAATTGGAAGATGGCGAATGCACGCACTGCGGCTATACAGTGAGCGACTCGGATCAGGATCAGGATCTCGATGAATTCGAGGTTATGGAACAACTCCGACTAATGGGGGATGCCTTTACGGAAGACGAGGATGGGTCCGACTTTATTGGACATCGTCATAATCCCGGGTTCGAATATAATTTTCTTCCTTATGACAGTGGTCATATAACCGATATAACTGACATGGATGCCGACTCGGAGGATGTATACACGGATGACAATGACGACATTACAGATGCTGGTGACGCTGAGTCGAATTTGTCAGAAGACGAGTCTCTAAGGTCAGAGTCGGATTCCTCAGGGAGGTCAAATTCAACAGCGCGTCGTGCTTCCAGTGATCATGGTAGTCAGACGATTGAACCAGAGTCAACTCCATCTGTTCAGGAGATATCATCCAGTGCCCAATCCGAGGCAGAGTCAGAAGAGGAACCAATCAGACGGCCAGTACGCAGACGAGTCTCTCGTCCACGTCAATCTCCCCAACATATATCCACCGATCAAGCGACCAGGATGACATTGCCCATGATTCTTCTTGCTAGCATGCGGGGAACCGACCCCGAAAATGCTGTCGTTATCGACGATTCCCCCCCTCCACGCCGAACTTCAAGGCGTCGTCGCCGCCACTAGCATCATCATCTTATAACTTGCGCTCACCCAAGGCCGTACCCCCACATATATACCAATATCCGCATAGCAAAGGCTCGACGGCTCTCATTGGAGTCTGATGTTTTGGCCACCAACTGAATTCTGGTCTATACCCACTCTTGCCTAATTTTTCCTTCTCTTGGATTCTCCTTATGGGTTTTCCGATTTCCCTTTTTTGCATTTATTTTGCATTTCATCATTGCCTTTTGATACAATGCTCTGCTATGCTCTTTTAAAAAAAATACTTAGCATGGCGTTTGAGCATGGAATCCTCAGGTTAACTTTCCCACCTTTTCCCTTGATTTCTTTGGTTGTTGGGTTCCTTTTTTAGAGGGTATGGACTGTAAAGTAGTTTATTTGCTATTACCCGGTATTAAATGAGAAATCTCTTGAGTGCCATCTCCTGTCACTTTTCCATTTGTTTTGGTTACGCAGTCTGAAGGATGTTTAAAGGATGATAAACGCAATCTACTAAACTCCAATCCTGATCGATCATTTATTTTTATACCGTGACGTTAGCTACCTTTTCAACTGGCAAAAGGCACTTCAAATACGACGGCGCCATTCCTTCCCCCTACCTCACCACATCCAAGATTCTTCGAATCATTGGCATCAAATACCTTCCAACGCCCAAGACGATGTTCCTTGCCTAGTGCGGCTACTATACAAAGACCCTTCACGTTAGTCTCATGCGACTTTGCCGTGGACCCCTTTTTCTTCTTCAATGTAGACGTAGAAAGGGGCCGACCAGGTTTTGCAGAGTCAGTGCCTCGGCGTTCGTAAACACATATTCCATTCACGATACCCCGAAGTGGAGGGGCAGTATGAGGTTGGTTGTCTTCATTAGTGTCCATTGACGTAACATCTGAAAGAGCATGGGATGTGCCGTTGGATAGCGATAGCTCCTTTGACGCATCCTTTCCACCAACACAACCCAGAGGGTGGAGCCGACGCTTATCTTCAGAGACTCCCCAGACACGAATCCACCCATCCCAGCTACCGCTTAGCACGATGTCTGTTCCCGGTACTGTGGCTAACGCTGTTATCCAGCGTGGACTTTGGCGAACATTCGCCGTTTTTGCAGCCTGCGCGTCAACGTCTATTTCGGACGAGAGTTTTTCAGGAGGAGGGAGGGGGTCTAAGCCATGGGCTTCATAGATTGTGTGAAGGGGTTTTTTTTTGTGGATGGACCATAGTGATATGGCGCCGGAGTCTGAACCAGTGACGAAATGGGCTGGTGGTAAGGCGGCCACGCAGTCTGTTGAATTTATAGAGTATTGGGAGACTTTAGACATGCCTCCAGCTCGAAATACCAGCTGTGTTTCATCAATGACTTTCCAAAGTCTTGCGGTACGGTCTCTGGAACCAACGCTGACACATTGGTCTGTTATCATCGAAGCCACTCCTAAAACATGATCCTGGTGGCCAAAAAGTGTTTCTACGTAGGCGTGGGCGTCGGGGCTCAAGGACCAGGTTTTGATGGTTCGGTCATACGAGGCAGAAAACAGCTGTTCGCCGGAACTTGAGGAGGATACCCGTTGGGTAAATGCCAAACTGCTGACAGAGTCGCGATGTTGTGTGAATGTTTTCAATGGAGTGAGGGTATCGGCATCCCAGATAATTAACCGATTATCAGCACCACCTGTAGCAACGAATTGACCAGATGGCGAAACCGCAACGGTCAGAATCTCGCTAACGTGCCCTTGCCTCTCCCTGCCATCTCTAGATGGTCGTAATCCTTTCGCCCATTTTAACTTCTTAGGCTTTTTCCGCAATGGTCGGCTTGATTGGGTATTCCCGTTCTGCGTAGAGGATGTTGTTGGAGGAGGCGTGGACAGTTCCCATTTTATCAGACTCATGTCCTTTGATGTAGTGTAGACATATGGATAGTGTATGGCAATGGCAGTGGTAGTATTCGTGTCTGCACGGAAATATGAATGAGAAGCAGCTGAGAGCGAGAGCGTCGAGGCAACCAATCTATATGCTCGGCCTTTGGATTCGTCCTAAGCGATCAATTAGTCTGGATTGTGACCATAGCAAAGGCTTGCAGGGCAGGGAAAAATGCACCACTTACCACATCCTCTTTCAATCTTTCTGCAATCAAATCCCGATCTATCTCTGCGGCATCAAATCCAACCTCATCTACTTCTTCCCTGACGTTGTGCAAATATTGTTCTGCCAATCTCAATCGTCGCTCGGCCGCAGTCTCGTCTTCGTCTGACCCAGAGAGCGATTCATCCTCAGAACCAGCCGATACCTCCGACCTCTCATCTCCTTCAGAATCACTCCCTGATATCGATTCGTCTCTGTCCGCTTGTCTCCGGGACTTATCGCCGCTCTGTGGTGCGCCTTTGCCAGTAACACCTCGCTTCTTAGCTACCGGAGCTCCCACTCGGTCCTCTCTCTTGCGCTTCCGCTGAGACGCAGGGAGTGTGAAAAACGAGGACATGGCTACAGAGATACCGGATAGTTCCAAACTCGATCCCAAGATGTACCTCCGAGACTTATCGCCCTGCCATCGTAGATCGCAACCCAGTTCCTCTCTTTATCAAGGCTCACGCTACCAAAATATTATATATATTTTTTTTATCTTCGATGGAAGGTTTTTTTTTTTTATTTTTTGAGTTTCAATGCCGGAAATTCGGAGAAAGGTTAAGCCTAATGACTGACTAAGCAAATAGGCCGCAAGCTTCCAACGCGGCTTTCGAAAGAGCAGCTTCATCAACAAACAGCGGAAGGACAAGCAGCGGCATTTCAACTGAGAGAGGCGGGATAACATATATTAGAGCTTTGAGTGCTTGTGGATTATTTGCAGATACTAAACTGTCATCATGTAAGCTTGCTGTGCACGATCTATCCTGGGAATCCGCTGATCTAACGTGGGTGTAGGGAGGTACTGCTTGGAATTACGGGGAAAGACTTCACCCTCATTGCTGCATCAAAGGCTGCTATGAGGGGAGCTACGATTTTGAAAGCCGCAGATGACAAGACGAGACAGCTGAACAAGCACACTCTCATGGCATTTTCAGGTGAAGCTGGTGACACAGGTACGGGCCAATGGTTTACTTATAAGATATGGGCAGAGCACTAATACTGTCAACTTCTATAGTTCAATTCGCCGAATTCATACAAGCGAACACCCAGTTATACTCTATGCGCAACCAAACTGAGCTTGGTCCCTCTGCTGTTGCTCACTTCGTCCGTGGAGAGCTAGCTAGAAGTCTACGGTCTAGAAGTCCATACACAGTCAACCTCCTTCTCGGCGGCGTGGACCCCATCACAGAGAAGCCTAGTCTGTACTGGCTCGACTATCTAGCGTCATTGGCACAGGTTCCATATGCCGCCCACGGTTATGCTCAGTAAGCCATGCTATAGATCTTATATACGGCTAGAATAAGGTCACTAATTGAATCCCTTTACCTAGGTACTACTGTCTATCTATCCTAGATAAACATCACCATCCAGATATTTCATTCGAGCAAGGCTTGAAACTGCTTGAGATGTGCTCAGACGAGCTCAAACGCCGGTTACCCATTGACTTCAAAGGAGTATGCTCACACCTCTCTCACAAGTTGCAAATAAATACTGATTTCATCCTTGCTAGGTTTTGGTAAAGGTTGTGACCAAAGACGGCATCAGGGATGTCGATTTTGAACAAGCAAATAACAGAATGGTTCGGAGTGCTTAGAGACACGGGTGGGCGTTCTGTCATTTTCATTCATATCTGGGCCGGTTGTTGAATTGGCGTCTTATGATCCTCGTACTTGCTATTGTTGTTATGTTACCCCAATTCAGTCAATATGCTAGTACTATGTCTCGAGGTTATTTCGATATCATGCATCCATTCCATGACTATATGCGGTATACCTTAATTTATACATTTTATGTAACCAACCGTGTGCCTAACCTTAGGTTTTGGTTTGTATCTTATTGAGTATGACTTGAACACTTAACAGCTGAGCTACACCTCACTTGATTGTAGTATACGAAGCTCATAATAAATCAAAATGCAGAGGTACCAAAAATATCAAGTTATATAGTGAAAGTCTAAGACAAGCGGTGGGAAGTCTATCTAAATGGGATACAGGCTGTGTGTAGGTGCAAATTGAAAGAAAACTGAAAAGAAACAAGCAGTGGAAGCGGCAACAATCCAGCTGTCGTAGTATAAGAGGACGATTTCCGTCGTATGATGCCGATGGCCTTACAACTCGCTCAGGAGCGCCTGGACGAAGGTGTTGCAGTTGTTGTCTGCCACACTGTAGACTGGGTGATCCTTCTCGTAATCCTTGGCTATTAAGAGCATTGTAGTAAGTATTCATTCATCGCATGTACAGTCTTTTATATTTGTCAGATACACACTTACCCTTGTTGTTGATAGCATCAGCCTTCTTCTTGGTAGTCATCTTCACAAATTCGATGTCTCTTCTCTTGGTGGTGTCCCAGTTGGTCTTGCGGAACTTGATGTCCTTGTTCTCCTTCTTAATGGTGTCATAGACCTGGCCGTCAAAGTCACGCTTCGTCTTTCTGTGCTTCTTAGGGCCGGACTCCTTGATGCTAACTTTGCCAACAATGAATCCGATATGGTAGAAGCCGAGCTTCTTCTGTAACTCCTGAAGCTCAGCAGGGGTCTCGTTGTCAATTTCGTCTCTCAGGGGCCATTTGGCCGTAAGCACATAGTACTTGTCGTCCTCCAGCTCTCCACCGTAAGCCTGAGCTAAAGCAGCGAAGGTGTCACTGTCTTCGGTTTCTCTTTTGACAAGCTCGGCCGAAAAAGGAGTAGACAACGGGGTTGTCTCACGAGCGGAGATGAGGCTGGAATCGACCTCATTCCTGGCGATTGGGGTCGCATTGACTGCAACAGAGGCAGCAGCAAGGAGGGTTGAGAAGATAGTAGAGAACTTCATGTTGTCTTATTGGGTGAAGGTGAATTGGTTAATGGTGATTGATTGTGGTGGTGGTGGTGGTGGTGGTGATGATGATGGTGTTGGTAAGTTGAGCTGAATGATGGTATATGATACAGCCCTTGAGCCAACTTATATACCTTTCGGATGGCAGCTCTGGATTCAAGATATCTCCTTTCAAGATACCTGAGGATAGCCTGATCATCACAACAGTTCGTCTCATATTTGCATCCTGCAAATATGGGGTAGACGGGAGACGGAACAATAATGCAGAAGGGTATCCAGAGGAGAGCACGCGAGAGATTGCCATTGCTGATCTGAAGCTATAGTCATAAAGCACATAGTAGCTAGACGGCGGCGGTGAGATATGCCGCGTTGGGCATCGGAAATTTCATCTCTGTGGAAGTCAGAAAAGCGAACCGAAATAGGGGCAGCAGAAACGGAGGAATAACCACAAGGCTATAGTTACCTTGGTCAACAGGAACAAAATAGAAGGTTATGAGAACGGAACATTATTAAATGCGAAACGCAGTGACAGGATGTTATCACACCTCAGCTGAACAAGGCTGTTGGTGATCTTCACGGAGGATTCGTAACCAGGCTTCATCACTTCTTTGTTTTAATAGTGAATTACCCAGGCTATCAACTTAACTAGGTAGCCAGAACTCATCCTCTATTCCCGATATCCCAAGTTATTCTTATTGTTAGCAAAGATGGGGCCCGAGAGCGATGCTGAACAGCTGGACAAATGGATCTCGGGGGGGTGCATGACCCCTGAGCGCATTTTGAACAGACTTACCGAAAGTCGCGAATATTGTGGCCTAAGAGAGAGCGAGTATATCGGGCTCAAGGAAGTTTTCGATCGCCAGGGCACAGAAGAAGCTGGGATTGCATACGTTGATAGAGATGCATTTGTTTCATTCCTTAAGGGCTCTAGCCCTGTTCCCTCTCTATTCGACGAAGCCGGTGATATACTGTATTCCAGTGTGCTATACCTCTCCAGATACCCCTTTGATCTGGGCACCTCTCGGAAGATGACCCTCGAACAACTTGCGAGAGCACTTATCTGGGCTTTGATAGATGCTCCTTTTAATGATCTACGAGCCAGAACTCTCTATGATGAAAGCAATTTCTGCCGCGGGAGAACATGGGCAGATCACAGAAGGGCCATTTTCCAGAGTCTTGCAACCTCTCGTGACGGCTCTACATTACCATATAACAGTAAGGAATGGGCAGAAAAGGCCAGAGATAGAGCATATCAATTCGACAAATTTGACCAATCCCGGCTACAGTTCGCTGCTGTGAACTGCGATGAAGATGGCGATGAGATGTACCACGATGTCCTGGATATCCTTTTCTCCTCGCAGATTGAAATCGACCCGTGCTTTGCGCCTGTTGCTCGTGATAGTTTCCGTCCATTAGCAAAGAAGCTACATGGGGATAACACTCATCTTCACCATCTCACGATTTCGCGAAAGAGTTTCCATGCTTTCATCAAACTGCTCCTCGTGTATCAGTTCGGCTGCAATGATCGGATGGAATGGGACGCCTTGGCAGATTTGGATCGTGTTTCCAGCTGCATTACAAACGCGTTTGCCCGTGATTCAAACATTGGAATCACCTGGCCAATGTTCGATGATGCCTGTAAGGTTACGGTAAGTGTCCTCTCACCTGTTATTTTTCGTCGTTTTTTATCTTTCTTCAATTTGCACCCTTTTGAATGATAAAGGTAAATGCTGATTCCATGGTTAGCCTTGGCTCCTGGATGGGTACTACCGCATCCTAAGCAGCCTTTTCGGTATACCTAAGGAGGGAGAACGACTTGGTTTCGATATGGAAAATATCTCTACTGACCTACCCAGTCCGACAAATATTCTGACATTTCCTGTCATGGCACAGCTTGGTATAATGTTTTCCAGGTCTTCATACAGTTTCTATAATCTGCGCCTCCATCGACATTATAAGCCACGTCTCAGTGAGATCAGCATATCAACTGTGGCTACAGATATCAGTGCGACGCCAGGAAGTGCCTTCTTTCTGGTCTCTGGCAAAAATAAGGAGACAGGAGATGTTTGCATGTTCGGGGCATACATTGCTGTTCCATCCAAAGATGGTGGCGAAATCCAGTCAACAGAGGAAGAAAAGGTAATAAATTGGCAAGACTCCTGTTTATTCGAGCTGAGCCCTGTGCATGATATCTACCTCGGGAAAGTCGGGTCACCTGGTTGGACAAGCACGGAAGACAATCTGCGTTTCGGCAATAGGGCAAATGGTGTGGCTTTTGATATAGAGAATGATCTTCGCAATGCAACTGTCTCCCATACGGTGGACGGAAAGCAAGAACCCGTCTATAATCCATCTTCATGGAGAGGCAATTGGCAGATGAAACTTGATATTGAAGAGGTTGAACTCTGGGTTGACGAGGAATAGATGTAACTTGTTAGACGGTTCAATGGATAGCACTTCCATAGCCCATTTTTGAAGTCACACGACTTAATTCTTCGATCCTTAATTAACTAGTTGAATGAGCGGCTCAAGATACTCGACCCGTGAACGGCTGTAAATTATATGTCAGCCAGGTAGCTCTTTCAATGTTTGGTATCTCTCTCAGCAAACTTTAGCTAGAGTGAAAAGGGTGGCATTCAATAAGAATGCTGCGGCCTTTCTAATAGTTAACTAGGCAGCTGGTCGGTTGTGAGGTTGGATCAAAGTCCTCAGGATTGTCTTTTACGGGCTTTTGGCATCGAGTTTGGTTTTGACCTATCAAATTCAAGATTTTGAGATTAGTCATCAAATCTTGGCACATATAGTTAGGTTAGTTATGCCTTCAAAGCTTCAGCTTGCAAAGAAACAAAAGAGCCAAAAGGCAACCAAGGGGACGACAATTGCTATATCTTTGAACAGCACCGACACATTTGCTTCATGATGACGAAGAGGCCGGCTGAAGATTCACTTGATGAGCCTGTTCAGATAGACTCGCCTGCTTCAAAGCGACCCAAGATCTATTCTACGGAAGAACCAACAGACGCGACCGCCCATGCACGAAGTCTCACAGATCGTACGGAACAGAGGTGGAATGGCAATGGGCATAATTTGAATGAAGAGACAGCTACATATGAAGGCGGGGAGAAAGAAACTAGAGATACAACCGCAGAGGAATCAGACTTGGAGGAGGATGATAATCGCCATCGAACCGTTAGGCAAAGCGCACCCCTGGAAGGATATGATGACTTATACTTGGATACAATACAAAGAGCCGCTCTCGACTTTGATTTTGAGAAGCTATGCTCAGTTTCGTTATCGAATATCAATGTCTATGCGTGCTTAGTATGTGGCAAATACTACCAAGGGCGCGGTCCGAAATCGCACGCCTACTTCCATGCCCTCGAGGTTGAACACCATGTCTTTATTAACATGGAGACGAAGAAAGTTTACGTGTTGCCAGAAGGATATGAGGTGAAGAACAAGAGCTTGGATGATATCAAATACGTGGTTGATCCTCACTTTTCCAAGGAGGAAGTGGCAAAGCTGGATAAGACGGTCATAGATGCATTTGATCTGTCGGGCAAACGCTATAGGCCAGGTGAGCAATTCAACACCAAAGCTGGTGTAATGATATCGATGCTAACATCTTGGCTTGCTAGGGTTTGTTGGAATGAATAATATCAAGTCCAATGACTATCTAAATGTCATAGTTCAGTTGCTTGCGCATGTCCGCCCAATTAGGAACTTCTTTCTGCTCCATGACTTCCCAGCTCTGAGCACCCCCCAGCTTCCTCTGAGATTTGGGGTACTGGTCCGCAAACTATGGAATCCCCGGGCTTTCAAGGCACACGTTTCGCCGCACGAGCTACTCCAAGAGGTTGCAATACGATCGTCTAAACGTTTTACCTTAACGAAGCAATCGGATCCCATCGAGTTTCTCTCATGGTTTTTGAACAACCTCCATCTGACTTTGGGGGGCTCCAAAAAACCTTCCTCAAAGCCAACTAGTGTGATTCAATCGGCATTCCATGGCAAACTCCGCATTGAAAGTCAGGCCATCACAGCTAGGTCCGACAGCGCGAATGCCCGCCTTGTCTTTTCGGAATCAAGCACAACCACATCTCAGGTCAACCGCTTTCTAATGCTTACGTTGGATCTTCCTCCCACTCCCCTATTTCAATCCTCAAACAAGGATTCTATTATACCCCAGGTCCCTCTTACCACGCTTCTAAACAAATATAATGGTATCACTGCGTCAGAGAAACTTGCCCACCGTGTACGGCACCGGCTACTACACCCTCTACCGCCTTACCTTCTTTTCCACATCAAACGATTCAGTAAAAATAAGTTTGTCGCTGAGCGAAATCCAACTATAGTTACCTTCCCATCGCCTCATGGACTTGACATGTCGCCATATGTTGAACCAGACCCATCAGTATGGCCTCCAGGTGAACCTATTATCTATGATTTAGTAGCAAATGTCATTCTTGATGCTGCAGTGAATGTTCCAGGTGGGCCAGAAAATGCCGCAAACAGCGCTGAGACGGCCAAGGATTTGACCGAAACTGGGCCATCTGCGGCTAGTACAACCACACCAGGCGCAGCCGCAGGGAATCATAAGGTGTCATGGCTTATTCAACTATATGATAAGGCCATGGCTACGGAGAATGCCCAACAACAGCAGCAGAAGGGACCGGAGTGGCTGGAGGCACAGGATCTTTGGGTTAAACGTACAGAAAGTGAGACACTGTTTACGCGGGAAGGATATTTAATGGTTTGGGAAAGGAGGAAGACAAAACCTCTCGGAAGTAAGTGAGAGCAGTTTTCAATAAGCCTCAATTACCTTCTTATTGTAACTTAATCTTCTACTTGACACGAAGGCAATGTAGGATAAAAAAACAATGACTCGGAACAATAAACCTTGTTATATCATAGTTAATTCTACAGCTGGCCCCATTGAAACTTAACTTTTCCAAGAGTGACAGCAGCACTGGCCCCTAGTCCCCAGATTCCTGCACTAATAACCGTCTCAAATCCCACTATTAGTGCCATCTTTCCAACGTAGGATAGCATATCTAATGCATTCCCACCTCCCATCCATGCACCCAGTGGTCGTATATTAGACTGGAGTCCAAGCAATGATGCTGTGGCACCAAGCGGGAGAATTATTGCCGAAGACTGGGTAGACAAATATGTAAAAGCAAGGCTTCGAAGATAAAGAGATTCAAAGGGGTAAAATAAAACAGAAGTTATGATAGAAGATAAATGGGAGGAAAACGCATCCACGGGATGCGAGGAGAGAATAGTAACGTGATGGTCCCATTCTTCAGCGGCATGTAGTCCAGGGCGATCGAGAAGAGGCTGTCTTTGAGGACCAGTACCATTGGCCATCTGCTCACTGGAACTGCTACTTATGTTATCCTGTGGGGGATTTGGTGCGGTGTGATTAATCCCAGGAGTTTGCCACAATGCATCAGGTTCATCCTCGGGAGGGTGTGCTGTAGTATCTATACCATTTTGTCCTGGGTCATTAGGAATAGAATGACCTCTTTCTCGAGTGGATTCAGGGACGTTACTGGGGTGCTGACTTGAGTCAGAGAGCAATGCATCCAATAAATCAGATGCCGCGCGATCAATGGCACTTGTTTGTGACTCAGTTCTGTGAACAACGCCATTTGGAAGCGAAACACTTGCATTAAGGCCTTGGTTTTCGGCTTCGGCCTCTGTATGACTTTGCAGGAGTTCTAGGTGCATTGTAATCACATCAGAATTCTGGTGGATAAGAGAAGCCCTAACACGGGGGGACGAGGGTGGAGATGATTCTGGAGATGGAGACGGAGAAAACAGAGTATTCGTCCGGGAAGCAGGAACATGAGCGGTAGCCTCTGTAGAATCCACAGCATGAAGTGCTATATCATGCTGACTAGGAATTGAGAGGTCAGTATCATTGCCAGTGGGGGGCAAGGAAGTTCGTATATCAGAAAAATATCCTTCAGGCAGTTGAATTGGCGATTGAGCAAATCGGTTCTCATCGTCCTCTAGAATTTGGCCAACCATATTGACATTAATTGCATGTGAAGCCTGAGACTCTTGACCCAGTCCAGCTGTTGGCAAATCGGGATTATTTTCTGGGTTTAAATCCTGTTGCAGCTGCCCAACTCGTCGTTGGACGGATTCGTATCGCTCTAGCCAAGCAGGTTCTTCAGTGGCTGGCTTTGTGGCAGTTGGATGAAAGCCCACAGAGCGTAGTAACCAATTTTTAAACGTAACAAACTCATACTTTATCTCCTGGGCTAAAGTAAAATGGCTTCTTTTAATTTCTTCTTCTGATCTCTTACCAAGTGACGGAACTGTCCATTCGATGAGTTCATTCTCCACGGCAACTCTTAAAGAAAGCTTATCAGGACGATCGGGTTTAGGGAGGCGGCGTCGAAGGATCCTGTAGACTCTCGCCTCAACCACAGGGCGAACGTTGATATATAGGTTGAATAGAATGAAGGGTGAAGTAGCCAGAGAGATACAATAGAGACCGATCGTGTGAGCTGATAATTTTGAGGGGAGGGGTGGTAGTTGTATCAGAGAATTTGCGGTAAATGGAATAAAGGAGTATAATGATGGGATTGAGAATGGAGGTAAAAGTTGAAGCGACTGTAGAAGGGAAAACATGTACCCTTGTCCGAGGACAAGGATAACGGCAGAGTTAGCACTAAATAACGGTTAGCATGCAAATAAATTAACATCGGGGCAAAGGGAGCCATGTACCCAAAAGACAATACACTCATTAGACCACGAATGAACTTTTTATACCACTTTGCATCAATAAGGGAGGAAAGGGTTGAATGAAGAGAGTCTAAAGCTGACTCTAAGAAGTGTGACCGGCAAACAGATAGTAAAAAAGATACGGTCCAAACGGGAAGCCCTGCGAAATAAAAGCCCGCAAAGCCAATTCGTTGACGTTCTCCGGAAACTATATCTGTTAAAGAGCCAATATTGTAACTTTTGAAGGTCTACAAAAGATGTTAGAGGCTGAAAAGACAAGGGGGGGGGGGGAGGGAAAGGGTGTGGGTGGGATATGAATATTCACCTGAATTCGACAGGCTAAAGATTTCGTCCACCAAGAGGCTCCAAACATGCTAAGCTGATCGATAGCCGCTAGGGCCAATCCAAAGTCATTTTCCTCCGCAAGTAAGGCAATCTTTTCTTGTTCTCTCATACTAGCCGTGTTTAACTCTTCACCGCTGACAACGATACCCATGGTAGATAGAACATCATTCTTTGCCTTTCTAAGCTGCCTAGCCTCAGCCTTTGAGCGGCGGTTAATAGGATGTCCACGAGCGTCATACTCTTGGACATATCCATCAGCATTCGAGTTCGCTAGGTGTCGGTTTGGTTGTGGTATAGCCGACCCATTTACAATGAGCTCTGGTGCCTCGTAAGGAGACCGGCCCTAATAATTTATCAGCATATTGATAGCTCAGGCTGTATAAGGACACAGGCTTCATAAATAAATTGAGAATTCGATCGACGGCGTAGGTCTTTTTATTGACCCAACATACCAAAGCAAGTGAGTTCAAATATGGACGTCTCCCCATACTAGTCAGTTAGCTGTGAAGAGAAGTTAGAGGAAAAAATCATTTCGCAGTATCGCTTCTGGTCTGGTCAAGGAGTGTGTTCTAGGGGTATAATTCTCTGGTCAACCAAAATGATCCACAGAAATGACGTTCTTCTGGACTGTGGATGTTGTTATTTAAGGAAGTTGACGTTATGAACAACTGGCGCCTATCGCGGTTAGTTTAGCAGCCCCACTTTTTCTGCCCTGTTAATAAAAATTTAAGCGCGTGGCAGCTTTTTTATTTTTTATTTTTTGCGGCTTCATATTGAACAAAGTACTCTGATTTTTGCTAGGATTGGTTGCTCACCTGATATGGTATATCAATATTTGGACTGATGGCGTCTTACTCCACCAACTGCTGATTTTATTTTTTTCCTTTCTTTGCGCAATAATCCTTCGGTATCAAGCCATGTCTAAAGTCGCTGTCAAGACCACTTTTGAGGTGCACAAGACCATACAGCCTATATACACTGGGGGGAGCGTCTCACTTGATGCTAGTGGTAGGTTTCTGGCGACATGTGTGGGCGAAGATGCCTTGGTCATTGATTTAGAATCTGGAGAGAGGCTGGCGCAAATTGAAGGCGTAAGTTGATAGACGGATTCTTCCATGCGAGTTAGAACTAATACCTTTATTAAGGATGGAGAACTGATTACCAGTATATCGAGTATGTATGCTCTTGAATGTTACATTCTCCTACGGGCTGAGCTAACTTTTTCTTAGTCTCCCCCGATGGATCCCACCTTGCGCTTTGCTCAAGATCTCTCTCGATGCGAATATTATCTCTTAAGCCTTCTGACGACTCGAATCGCACCATTGAAGTAGAACTTCTGCGGTCCCTTAAACCTCATACAACGCCCGTTGTGACGACGGCGATTGATCCTACGAGCTCTCTCCTTGCAACTGGCAGTGCGGATGGCTCCATAAAAGTTTGGGATCTAAGAAGAGGGTACGCAACACACACATTCCATGGCCATGGGGGTGTTATTTCGGCTATGTGCTTCTTTGAAATTGCTCTAGAAAGGCTCAATGAGAAACAGAAGCCCAAATTCAAGAATATCCAGAGCAACGATGATGACCAAGCCGACTCTATGGCTTCCGGCGTTCGCTTAGCATCCGGGAGTGAAGACGGCAAAATCAGAATATGGGACCTTAGCAAGCGTAAATCGGCCGCATCCCTGGATTCACATGTATCAGTCGTGCGCAGCCTATCCTTCTCGAGATCAGAAAATACCCTTCTATCTGCCAGTCGGGATAAAACGGTGATTATATGGGATGCGACGACATGGGACTGCAAACGGATCATACCTGTTCTTGAGAGCGTTGAAGCGGCTGGGTTCTTATCGGACGGCCCATTCTGCTATATCGGTGGCGAGAACGGCAAGTTGAGAGTATGGGACTCTAGTAGGGGAAGTGAAGTCACAGAAGACCAGCCCATAGGAAGTGAACAAGAAGCAATTGTCACAATAGAATATTCTGACAGTCTACCGTTCTTGTTGACTGTTCATGTTGACCAATCTTTGAAGATTCATTCCCTCGAGCCATTGTCCTCCTTCGCACATGGAGGTAGAATTGAGCCGCTGCCGGTCTCACGACAAATTTCCGGTAACGATGATGAAGTTATTGATATGGCCTGCATTGGTCGGGATAGGTCATTACTTGCATTGGCCACCAACTCAGAATATATAAGAATTGTTCGCGCGAAGTCTATGAATGAGGCTGAAGGATCTGGAAGCCACTTTGGAGCCGATGTCGCTCGACTTGAGGGTCATGAGGAAATCATAATTTGCCTTGATGTCGACTGGTCTGGAAACTGGCTCGTGACTGGAGCCAAAGACAACAGTGCCAGGCTATGGAGAGTAGACCCAGTCTCTTCATCTTTTACCTGCTTTGCAACTTTCACTGGCCATGCTGAATCAATAGGGGCCATTGCGTTCCCGCGGTCAGCCCCAGCTGAAGGTACACCTGCCTTTGAAGATCCCCTCAACCATCCACCCCCCTTCTTCATTACTGGTTCCCAAGATCGAACTATCAAACGATGGGATACATCCAAACTCAATGTCACAGGATCAAAACCGCACACTCCAAAGGCACTATATACTCGAAAAGCGCATGAAAAAGATATAAATGCACTTGACGTGAACCATTCATCCACCTTATTTGCATCTGCTTCACAGGATCGTACTGCCAAGATATGGTCTGTCGAGGATGGCGCGGTTACTGGTGTTCTTCGTGGTCATAAGAGGGGCGTATGGTCCATTCGATTTGCTCCCAAGGACACACCGATTTCTACCACTACCCCTGGTTCAATTAGCAGAGGGATAGTTGCCACTGGCTCTGGCGACAAGACTATCAAATTATGGAGCCTTTCAGATTATAGCTGTCTTCTGACATTCGAGGGCCACAGTAATAGCGTATTGAAAGTACTATGGCTCCCGCCGCCACATATCTCTCAAACTGATGAGGATATATCTTCTCGAGGGGCTGCACAAACTAACCCCCTAGTTGCCTCCGCCGGCGCTGATGGATTAGTGAAAATATGGTCCCCATCCACTGGTGAGGTAGAGACGACCCTAGATAACCACACCGACCGCGTCTGGGCTTTGGCAACTCCTTACACACCTTCATCCGCGACACAGAGCCAGGGAAATACGACAGAAAGCAACTATGATTTCTCCTTGATCTCTGGTGCTGCAGATTCTGTGGTGACTTTCTGGAAAGACACGACCTCAAGCACCCTGTCTGCTGCAGTCACAGCGAGCTCTGAACGGATTGAGCAGGACCAGCAACTTCAAAACTACATTCACGCTGGTGCTTACCGTGAGGCCATTACCCTTGCTCTTCGTCTAAACCATCCGGGTCGGTTACTGTCTCTATTTACCACAGCCATTGATACGACTGAGGATACCGCGGAAAGAGACCCTGATAACTTGACGGGAAATGCCGACATCGATGCAGTTCTTAAGACATTAGACGATGAACTCTTATACATTCTTCTAATCCGCCTGCGTGACTGGAATACGAATGCTCGAACTGCGCGAGTGTCACAGCGTATTCTATACGCACTTTTCAGGTCATACCCGTCGTCCACTTTTATTGAGCTTGCTGACCGAAAAAATGTCCTTCCAAATGATGGCAAATCAGGAAAATCAGCTGCTATGAAAGATATTTTGGAAGCATTAGCTGCATATACTGAAAGACACTATCGGAGAATCGAGGAGCTAGTTGACGAAAGCTACCTCGTGGAATGGGTCCTTGGTGAGATGGGCGGAGGAGTGGGAAGTGCAGCACCAGCACTTAATGGTACAGATGGAGAGGATATAATTATGGTCTAATGCGAAACAGATGCCGTTATCAAATTCCAATGGGAGTTGAGGAATAAAAAGTGCATTTTTACGGAATTTTGCAAGGAGTTGAATGTGTAACTGTCGGAGTTTTGACTTGATAACTAGCAGATTTCACATATTCGTTTGACATTAGGCCATAATCCAAGTTTGCTGGCTTGCTGTCTATTGATACATATTCTACAGAACTAAACAACGATGACACCATAGTATCTTAACGTAAAGGTGTAGAGAATCCTATTATCTTCTGTCATAGTCCCTCCTTCTGTCTCGATCCCTGTCTCTGTCTCGACGCCTATCTCTATCGCGGGCTCTGTCTCTCTCCCTGCCGTAATCATGACCTCTACGTTGGTCGTCTCTTTTATCCCGATTGCGCCCTGATCCACGGTCCCTGTCTCGATCCCTATCTCTGGCCCTGTCTCTGTCCCTGTCTCTGTCCCTGTCTCTGTCTCTGTCTCTGTCCCTGTCTCGATCCTTGTCTTGATCCCTATCTCTGTCTCGACGCTGATGGTTTCCACTATCCTCTTCTGTGATGATCTCACCCGTTTTCTTACTTTTCAGAATAACGGGTGTATACAATCCTTCACCTTCGTTCTTTGCTTTTCTCATTGCTGCCTTCCCCCAGGCTCCAAGTTCGACTTCAGCACCTCCTTTCCCACCGAGATCTTTTGCGCCTATTCCAAGGTATCCAGGTCTTCTCTCAGGGACACGGGCTGTTACCGGGGTATTTCCATAGTTTCCTCTACCGACAGGTTGGCCCTCTTTCCACCCCATACCGCGTAACAATGCAGCACCAAACTCTTCCACTGGCACGGCATTATAGGCGCTCAAGCTTGCTGGGGCAGGGCGTGACTCTATATCTCGACGAAATGATTTGGTTTCATCGTAAACTGAAGAGTTATTCTCGTTAGGACGGGCCGTTATTACCAGATCTGACGGTTTGGATTCTGCTGATTCCCCTTTGCTCTCACGGATGAGAGCCTGCAAAGCAGCATCGTCCTGCGATAGTGGCTTCGTTTTCGGTTCTTCCTTGGTCACCGAGACACCCGCGCCTTCATTGTCTCCATTTCCATTTCTTTCCACATCCCCTGCCACTGTATGTGTTGCAACTGCCTCTGCGCTAGGCTCTGCATAGCTCAAACCAGCTTTTACCTCCGGAGCATCAACCTCCATTGTGGACTCCGCGGCTCCATTTGCCTCCCTTTTCCTCTGAGCTTGTACTTCAGCAGGTAACACACTTCGTCGCACCCCCTGTGTGCGAGCATGTAGCTTATCTCTCCATTTATTTCGTGATTCAATCTTGATAGTTAGCGGTTCCTTTTCTCTCTTCACCCGCTTATTGCTGATTATTGCACCACCAGCTTGGTGATCGAACCCTGTGACTTCTTCTGGCACTGGCTCTCCTTCATCCTCACTGGCTGAATCATGATCATTGAATCTTCGGGTTCTGCTCGAGAGCTCTCTTGTTCCGAATGGAGCTGCTGGTTTGCTTTGCGTGGACGGCGTCGGCGTTGAACGGCGAGAAGAGTCGGCTGAGAGTGCGATGGAAAACGGCTTTGGTTTGGAAACTCCTTCCGAGCTTTCGGGTTGCATCGTAGATCTTGGGACGGAGTATAAGATCAGATTTAGCTCTCCTAT